TTCAATATTTAAAGTTCTGTTTCATTCCTTCTATTTGGAATTATAGTTTGGAGCAAATGCAATTATCTATTCACTCTAAACCATCACTTCAAGGTACAAAAGGAAGAAGAAATTACTTTGAACCAGGAATACCTAGTTTTTTCTAGAGTGAAGGTTTCACTTGGCCTTTGAGTCATATGTTGGGGTTATAACAGGAGAGAAATTAAATTAAATTACATTTATATTTAGGCTTAGTAAAAATTAAATATAGTCTAATGCAGGACAGCTCAGGAGTTGTGTATTTAATTATAGTCACCCATTGCCATATTAAAAATTACAATCTGATAACAATTTTTGGAAGTATTGGAATGAATACATTGACTACAAACTTTCAGGGACATTTTGATGCTATAAATATAGATCATTGTAGTGATACTGTGAAAAAAGAAAAACAACTCTAGAGTATAATTAAAGATGTCAAGTATGATGACATTCATTAACAAAAGCTATACTCATACATTTCAGTGGTTATCATTAATTGATGTGAATGAAACTCAAATAGAAACTATTGGGAGAGTTTCATTGGCGGAAAGCTTTTCCATTGGAAATATATCAACTTGGACTCAAAGTTTAATATTTGAAATTGTTACCCTGAGGTTCAAGTAAAATTATAAAAATAACTATCAAATTATGTATGTAAGTTGCATACCTCGGGTTCTTTGGTGTGTGTGTGTGTGTGTGTGTGTGTGTGTGTGTACACACCCACACACAGAGAGACAATATATATCCAAAATGAACTGAGATTTAAAGGTATGAGAAATAACATTGGCTATAAGAGTATGACAGAATCTTCAAAGAAAATTTAAGGATTGTTTATGCAAAATTGTTTCCATTTTTAAAGCCATATTAACACAGTATTATTTTTGTTTAAAGAAGTATGTTTTGGATAGAAATATTTCATAACAATATTTATGTTATGTTTTTCTTTCAATACAAAAAGAATTGAAAAAAAAACATGAATTCAATTCTTTTGACCCCCTAAAATAAATCCAAGGTCCTGGAAGTGCAGAAGAACTTAAATTGTGTCTGTAAGAATATGTTATTCTTTTTAAGATGGGGAAAAGTGAGAGGAAGGAGAGGATGTATCTTATAATTATGCAGAACACGGATTTATTTTTTTTTAACAGAAAGAATAATGAGAGAGTAAAGAATTTTCTTGCACTTTGCTGTTCCCTCTTTCCCTTAATGTAAAGCCCAGTGATGATACTGACTTATTACTCTCAAACAAAGAGGAAAGGTTGTTTTAACAGCTTTACAAGCAGGTTACACAACTGATATCCTTGATGCATATTGCTCCTATGCTTGAATTAATGAAGAGGGATATGTTAAGATATGCTCTTAGACTCTACCAGCTAGAAGGATTTAATTGTTGCACCAGGTACTACTCTAATAGTGGGTGTAGGTTGTAAAATATATCAACTCACATCCCATTCCAGCATTTCAAAAAGATCCAATTTGTGTGGATCTTTTTAAGTCTAGCATTCAAATTCAAAATTTTTCTCATTTCTAAGTAAAATTATTAATGTCCATTTGCCTCAACTGGGGCAAAGAACGAAAGACTAGAGGAAAAAAGAGATTAGAATTCTTATTATTTGTAAAATATTACAAACAGAGGAGTTGGGTTTGAAAGGCAAATCAGGAATAGAAATATAATTTAATGGAAGAAAGTAAATCTTCAATGAGGAAAAATACAAAACAGAAAAAGATTAACAAGAGAACAAACAAGCAAAAACAGTTGCTGATGCAAGATGGAGGAAGAAAGCTAAGAGAAATTATGCTAGTATCTTATCTAGGAGAGTTTGCTTCCCTACATGAAAGCATTCACAATAGATTTTATTTGTCCAATCACATGAGTATTTGAACATACATTCCCTTAATGGATGACAAGTATTTAGGATCAAGTGGATATATATCCTTTCTGTATCATTAGTCATGAAGTCTAATTCCTTTACTCAATTAATACAGCAACATTTGTAAATGGAACAGAAAATGAGGGGAAAGACTTGATTTTTATCATGCCCATTTTACAATGAAAACAAAGTACTAAGATTTTGTAAAACACATTTCTTTCCATCTGTATCCAAAGGCAAGCTACTGAAAACCTAGTTATTGGGTTCATCATTATGTGAGTGTTGCAATGTAACCATTATTATTGTACTTTTATGTTTATACAGTTGTGCTGACAGAATTGAAATAATTGAAATCAGAGAATAATAGGCAGATAGCCAGGCAGATAGGAAGTCCAAGATTACTGGTTTACTCAAGTGGCAAAAAATGGGTAATATGCTAGAGAAAAGGTGTCATTAACAGGACAAAAGAAATTATGTGATGGTGAAATGATACATCTGCTAGAAAGTAATACATTTTTTAATAAATGCTTCTAAAAGGCATTTAAAAAATATGAAAAAAGTTATGCTTTGTTACAATTTTAATTTTAGAAGAGATCATCTAAATGTTCTGCATACTATTCCAGAGTAACTGCATATACCCAAATATCTCTCAGAAGTACCTTTTTTAAGTTTTCAATAAACATTACTGAATTGTTTTTAATGGTTAAAAAAAGAGTACAAACATTTTAAAAAATAAAATCATAATCAAAACTTTCTAGCACCCTTTCATAATGGTAATTTATTAAATGTTTAAAGTAAAAGATAATCACACATCTTCATAACTATGCCTCAAAATCTAAACCTGTGGATCAACTTGGTTTTTCAGAGTAAAAAAAAATATGAGACTACTAAATTTCTCATTGGTAGAGTGATAATCATTTGTTTACTCACATTATTTATACAAAGGAAATAAAATTACCTCCAAAAATCAATTAAAAATTGTGGAGAAGAAGCACAATGTGCAAATTCAGTACATGCAAGTAACATATGATTTTTATTGTTATTTACTGATATTTGTTCAATATAAATTCCATTCCTATTCATACTAAAATAGAACATGATAGCAAAACACATCAATATATGATGATTACATCAAAAACCAATCAAATTGGTTCACACTACTATTTTTGTAATATCATTATCAGGATAAAATTGATTATTTTTATAAGATATTAAATACTAATAAATTAATCTTAAGTGACAATTTGCAATTTATATGTCCCACTACATATTAAGTATTTATAATATTGCACAGCTCTGAAAAAATACTGCACTGTTATTGAATACACTAAATAAGTAATAATATAAAAATAATAAATTGTTATAAATTGAAATGAAGAGATAGATGATTTAACAAGGACATGAAATATTAAAAAATATTACAGATGGTAGGTTCCACATCACACACCTACTTGACATGATATTGCAACTGTTTCTCATAACTCATTATCCCTGTGATTAAAAAAGTAAATTAAATAATTTAATGACGAAACAGCCCAATGATTTTAGTCCAACTATAAATAAATCTTCGGAATTCCTTGATTGTAAAATAAAGTTTCCATATTTTAGAGAAGTGATCTTTGTGTATCATGAGCTTCATTAAACATAAAATAGTAAGGATCTATATATATTAACAAACTATACTACATTAAAAAGGTAAATGGCACCTACATCACAAACGTATACAAATTAGGAATACGGAAATATAACAAGACTGATGATGATGAGGAAGCTATTTATCTTTTAAGAAGTATGCATTTGTTATTAAATATGAACATAACATATTCTTTGACTAATAAACAAAAAAACTGAGCACAGTCCCTTCTTCCATTCTATTCCTTGTTTCTTTTTAAACCAACCATAAATACTGAGTTTCTGGACTGTATTATTGACATGGTGCAAATGAAATAAATTATTAACTTTTTTCAATAACTCATGAATTTGCAGTGAAGGAAAAATGTTTTTCCTTCAAATATGGAGAAAAGGCTCCCAAGTGCGTGTATGTGTGTATATATTTATATATGTGTGTGTATTTATGTATAATATATATTTTAAACTATGATGATAATTATCCACATTTTATATCAAATTATTCAAACTATTCTATTGAGAATTGCTAAAGCAGTCATTGTTTTCCTATTCTATTACTTTCAATTTTTAAGTGTCTTCGCTTCAGGCCTTTTAAAGTATATTTATTCTGCATAAAAAACTATGTTCGAAACAACTGGCGTAGGTTATATATTTTTAATTGGATCAATCAAGAAAATTTTTCATGTCAAAAATGCGGATTTAACCTGTACATTTGAGCAATTAAATACACCATAGCTGGGAATTAATCTGGCAAATGGCTTCTAACAGTGATCATAAAAATAGAAGAGATATATGTTTGTTATATGTACATATATGTGTATGCACTATCACCCAATGTATGTGTGCTTATATAATTTAATGCATTTATATATGAATATATACAGATACAAAATTTCTATACACCCACACACATTTAAAAATCTAATTTAAAGGCAAGCAATCAACAATTCTTAATTTCCCATATATTGATCATTAAAACAAATCCTTAATAAATCACGTGCAAAAATAAAATGATATTAACAATTCCCAAACATCATTAAAAATTAATAAAAACCAAAATACAGGGAATATATGAGCTGATTGCAGGGATATTTATTTTAAAAATCAATGAGTAAGTCAAAAGGGGAGGGGTTTACTATAGATACATGGACAGGAAATAAATAACGTTTTTTTCTTAAATCTATCATGACAATAAATGAGACAAGATTATAAATAATAGGCCAAATTATTGCACACCATGTGATTCTTAATCTGGGTACCTATGGGTCCCCTCCTTTTTTTTTCTTTTTTCTTGGAAAGCCTTTTTTTAGTAGTGGTAGGGAATGGGGCGGTGATGAAAATGCAATAGAAAAAGAAAATTGTGTTTATATGTCAGTTTTTTTAAAATGATTAAAGCGTGCAGCAAAAGGAACATTGGAAAATAGAGGATTTTTTTTTTTTAAAAAAAAGCCAATCCCATTATTTTTGAAATGCTATTATTACCTGAGCATCTCGTTTCCTATATTCCTGGGTTTTATTGTCGTAGTCTGTCATGGCAGCCCGAAGCTGTTTTTCTAGTTTCTCAATTTCCCGTTCATGGTCTCGGACCAGGCAATCCTTTTCTGTGTTATGTTCTTGGAATAGGTGCGTCTTTTCCTGTTCGTGCTCCAGCTTCAGCTCTACTATCTGATTGGACAATGAGGAGTACAGTTCATCAACAGAACATCCCTGTCGTCATGACAACTCATCTTACTGCTTTATTTTTTTTTCACCCCCACAATTTTATCGTAGGTTTTTAACCATTATTTTTACGTCATCGTTACCTCACCTGCAAAAAACAAAAATAATGCTAGGTTTTAGGCGTTATTTATAAAAACGAAACAAATTCAACAGATCATGAATACTGAATGTCAGAACACCGGGAGATGAAAAAAAAATCCCTGTCACATTGGATGTACGTTCCCGAAATCCAGCAGTCATACAGATTAAAAATGGTTAATTGTCTCTTCTGCTCTTCATGGGTACACAAACATCTCCAAAATAAAAGTCCATCCAATATAAATGAATGAATGAATGAATGAATGAATGAATGGAGGAATGTTTATGTGTGCATATGTTTGGATGTCTATGTTTGTATCTGTCTATATAAACTTTTGTCAACATTCCCCCGCTATTTTTAAAATGAAAAAGCTCTATGAAAATGAAAAAACTGGAGCACCAGCACAAACAAATGTACGTGTTTTAGGGGGCACCTGCTGTGCCGCAAGCTTGCACCATGACTGCCAAGAAGATTCTATTCTCAGGAAGCTCCTTTGCCTGTTCAAAGCACGCTGGATACGATGACCCTGGCCAGGCTTAGCCTCTCCATGTTAGACTGAATGGCAGCTGGAGACCAAGGGCCTGGTGGCTGCAGCTTTAATACTAATCCTCCCAGACTGTGCACAATGGCACCCTACCTGGCTGGCAAACTATAGCTAGCTAGGCTGCCTTTGAAGCAGGTGATGAATAGGGAACTGCAGGAAGCCAGCTTTCCTCATGAACTCCGGGCCACACAGCTGCTAGGAACAGTCAGTTGAATTTTTCTTCAGTTTTGGTGGATTTCAGGAGAAGAAGAAAAGGCTGTTATCAGGAATACGGTTGTTATATTTAGCGTGAGAATCTCTCCTCTTCAAAAAAAATAAAGCAGCAGTAGGAATCTGCCCATAATTGATCTTGTTTGTGTGAGCAAAGCATGGAGGCATCTTATCTTAAAGAGATAGCATTCATTTTTTCTTTAAAGCATTCTCCATAATGTCACCTTGGCAAGTGTGTATAAATTTTCCATGTATATTCTGAATACCCAAATCTAATAAAAATCTTATGGAATCAAATTATTCTCAACTGGAAATATTTGGGTAATATATACTTGGCCTAATACCACAAAAAGCAAACTGTTGAAACTCCAACTTTGTGAATAAAGATACATTTTTTATTGATAGTTAATGCTTCACTAGGGTTTGTGATACAATTAAAATCAGGGTCTTTAAAACATTTTATGCATTCTTTTTTAGCAGGAAGTAATTTCCTTGATTACAACTGAATGTGCATTGCTGTGAAAAATCAAGATAAATTAAAATAAGGAAAATTACTACTTTTTTCTAAATAGACCAAACATAAATAAATTTATACTTTTAAATTTGAAAAAAAAAGTCCTGATCAACACTGCAAACTTTTACTTCTCCAATTAATTCTGTGATTGTCCAGTTAACCTTTACTTTCCAATTTCCTGAAACCAACTAAATTGAATAGTAAAATATAAAGTATTATGAAAATAAAAAAAATATCTGAAAGAAACATAAAAACTTTTATGTCGGTCTTTACCATGCACTTTTCACTTTTGTAGTCAGCAAAATTATTAAAATTGTGAAAGAGGGTATATGTAACCAAGAAAAAGGACATTATTACTTCTGAGAGCAGGAAGATATACCTGATCTTTAAGCTTAAATGACAGTACTGACTTCCTTGGACAGAATTATAAATAAATAAATAAATAAATAAATAAATAAATAAATAAATAACACTACCACTATGAATGCTAATCCTGTTAGGCCACTGGGAGTGGTCAGCATAATTTCTTAAAAGCAATTGTCTCTCTCCTCCTCCAATCTTTACCCTGTACAGTTGGGTGTTAATGTTTAAACATTTCCAGTCAACCAATATGTTTCAGTGTATTCCTAAGTGAACAGAAGCTGATGTAACCTGTACTTGGTACAAACTTAAACATCACATCTCTCTGCAAATGTTGAATACATAATTATGTATCTGCCTAAGATCTCTGCACAGATGTTCTGTAATATGAAAATCTGGGGATTGTGAAGATCAGTATTAACATTTTATCTTTCTTTCCTTTAACTACTACGGTAGGTATGTTTTAGGACAGAATTATCTAATTTCTTCCTAGCTTCAAATTCTTCATTATATATATATAATTCCAAAGCATAATAGACACCACTGTGCTTAAGATAAAGAGTTCAATTTTTGTGCCATCTACTCAAAGTACTTTATTTTGAAAGGTTTCAGGCCTATTAAGTTTTTCTTTATAGATATAAACAACTGCTTTTGTGATTTGACTAGAAAAGGTTTTATTTTATGAAAAGTCTCTCATGCAGATCATTTTTTTCTATAAACAGCACTGAATTGTAGAATTATATACAGTTATTCAAGTATTAGCTAAATTTTTCAGCAGTAATGTGTGGTTTTTACCCTTCAGATTTGACCAGTTGGGAAGCAGTGCTAGTAGAGATTTTTTGGGGGTCTTTCAAATCTTTCCTTGCTTTCAATGGTTCCATGTAACCTCAATTAACAAGGTTAGCACAGTGGAAATTTCTAGCTGAAAGTGTTTAACAGATTTAATAGCTTTTCTAACCTTTAAGAATGAATTATCTTCACTTTCAAATATGCCTAGAGGGTTGCCTAGCCCTAGAGAAACCCATGATGTTAAAAGTAGATAGGTTAGAAGATCAAAGTATCTGTTTGTGAATTGAACTGCCCACATATAATAATAAATCTAATGAATCAATCACTGGGGGAAGGGGTTTAACAACTTTACAATATTGAATGAACTAGAAAAATGTTAAAACGTCTACAACTGCCATATTCATAATTTTCTTAGTTTGGATCTTTAAACAACTGCAGATAAAGAGTAAGTATGCTTAATTATGCACCAACGTTGTTCTGTTTGGATCAGTTTTTGTCCAGAATTAACTGAAATATACTGAGAAGATAATAGTCAGCATCTGCTCGTCCAGTGATGGTGTTAAAAGATAAGGAGGCTCACTAGAATGTGATTTCACCAAGGAAAACCACGGTATAGGCTAGATTGGAGGGATGGAAACCTAGAAGAAAGCAATAGCAAACTGCTTCCATACTTCTGTCAAAGCTACTAGGGTGTATCACCAGGAGCTACATGTGCATGGCACTAGAAATTGAGCAAAACAAGATTTACATTTTATATTTTATAAAGGGATACTTTAATCTAGTACTATCAACTATTAATGACCAAAATGATAAGTAATTGATTTATAGAAACCAAAATACAAAAAACAGGAACCATTAGTACCTATTAGCAGCTTCTTAGTGTTTCCAAAATTGTTGATGAATGAAAAATTAAAATATGACAATTATGAGACATATATAAAAATTATGCTCAAAAATGTGGAAGCATAAGATTGGGAAATATTTCTAATTATCACTGTTTTTAGAGCTGACATAATCATTATCATTACCAAATACATTTCTGTTGCACAATGCTGGAAAGGTATCTAAGAGACAATCCATAATCCTTATGGTTGATAATAAACTGCATCCATCTCTACAACTGCAGCACAACAAATCCTTATCAATTAATTTATTTTTTGGCTTTTTATGACCTATTTCCATTGTGTGCCCAGCATGTAAGTAATAAAGAACAAATAGGCTTATCACATCTTACATTTTATTATTTGGGCTATGTAATTTATTAATTATCTTATTTATTTCTCATAGTGCAATAATCCATAAAATTAAATATAGAGAAGCACAATACAAAAAAAATCATCAGAATTTAAATTAATTCATCTTAAATGAAAAGCCTGCAATGAAAAATCTTAGCTGTGCATCAAAAAACAGCTATGTAGATGCTACAGAAACTATTTAGGAAAATATTACAGATTTGGAACCACCATTGAGAAAGCATTCTCTTTTGTTGTCACCCTCCAAGATACAAAACAAGACATTGTCTTATCTGTGAAAATCTAGATCTTGCTAATTTAGAATTGTATAAACATAATTCAGAATTAAATCCTCAAAATTCAGTTGGTCCCAACCCTGCCAATTTTTAAAAGGCCTTGAAGATCTGATTCTTCTCTAGTCATTGGCCCATTTGAAACTGTAAGGGTTGTGTGACTAGCCACTGGCACATTTCATGTTTTATTATTTCATTACTTTCTTTTGTAGATTAGCTTTCTAATTCTTCTTAGCTCCATAGCAGCACCAACAAATGGGCACTTGACAACTGGACAATATAAACAAATAATATTCATCAGAGCTTGAGCCCTTTTTATCTAGTCTAGAGCTCAGTTTGACTGGTTTGAGTCTCAAACTAGGTCCTCATCTAATTTATTATCTGGCCAAACACCCAAATAACATCACCACAGTCTATTCCAAAATGCAAAAATAATAACTTTCCAAGAAGTCTATTCAGCAATTTCATGAAGAAGCTACATGGAGGGACTAAGTTCTAAACATCATAGGATATGGCAAACTGATGCACTGGTAAGCATCACTTGCTGTAGCTGGGCTTTACTCACAAGTTAAAGATGGGAAGATGACAGAAATAGATAGCAAAATCAAATTTGGAAGATCATGGAAGATACAAAGCATGAGAAATTGTCTAGACAAGAACTTTGTTTATGGAACAGTCGCCTACCCTCAGGGACATTATTTTCTATAGTCTTGATGATGGGATGCAATTAAGCAGAGCCCAGGTTCTGATGAAACAATATATCTCTCACAAAGAAAATTAATTGCGGAATTAAACTTATAACCTATAATAAATCTTACAATTATAAAGTGTATTCAGTTGCACAGATAATGCCAAACTATGGTCCTGTGTCCCTATTGTCATTGCAAAATAAACTATGCAAGAACAATTGAATAGTAAAATGCCAGGATTCATTTTATATTTATAAATACTAGCTGGTAATAGAAAAGAGATCATCATTAACTTTTCAAATGTTTATGAACTTCTAGAGGAATTTGGTACAATAAAGTTGGAACAGAAAGTTGAATTAAGTGATCATAGCAAAATACAACAATCCATTATATGTTTTATTGTAAACTGCTCAGAGAAATTGGGGTAGTGGGCAATTTAAACATTTTTTTTAAAAAATAAAGAAATAAATATTGATTTGCTCCAGTTTATTATATTAGCATTTATGCAGATAGCCAATGGGCTGGAGGGAAAATTGAACCATAAGCATGAAGAAAATTGAAATGCAAAAATTTGTATTTTTATCTATGGGGCGCTTATGATAATTTTATCTGCAAGGAATGCTTATAATAACTTTTGAAAGAAAAAAATACTGGTAGGATTGTATGGGGCCTCATACATAGTAAACTCTTTAATGTGAAGCTTTAAGGCAAATGCATTTTACATCTATACTTGATTTGAAATTATAATTTAATGATCAATTTTAAGAATTTTCTAAGTTGAGTTGTGTTGCTATTTTTTATGAAATGGAAGCTTGCAAATTCACTGTGATTGAATTTTGGATTGCAGAAGGAACCCCGCCAATTGAAATTCATCATGAATGCAATTTATTTATGGTAACTACTATGATGACATAAGCATTGTATGTCACAGGGACACCAAATTTAATGATTGTGTTATGAAGAACAAAGTGGATGACCTATGACAACAGCCAACAACTTTTACATGACAAAGAGTGATGAATTAATTAAGGGCAACTGGTGGATCACTGAAGGCAAAACTTGCTATCAGGGTTGGCATTTCACAAAACTATGCGAGTCACCTTACTAATATTCTTCAATATTGGAAGGTTGGTAGAAGTGGGGCTTCTTGTGTGCTGATGGTAGAACTGAAACAATCAAGACTTGAAATCTACAAAGAATTCTTCATGCTATGACAGTGAGAATGAGGATTTTTTTAACAGCATTATGACATGGACAAAACATGGGCTCATCATTATGACACAGAAATCAAATGGCAAACCACGGGAAATCATCACAATGCTTTCCTGGGGGGGGGGAACCAGACTTTGACAGAAAAACTCATAAATAAAGTTTTTGGGGAGGCAAATGGTGATATTCACACGGACTCCCTTATAGTAGCAGTACTATCAACTTGTAGTTCTATACTGCAACACTCAAAACTCTGAAATAACAATGAAAAACAGTTTGGAAATTTTGTTGCAACACAACTCTAGGCATTATATTTCATGACTCATTGAAAAAATGGATCTATGTTTCAGGATCCAATCTGAGTCAACCATTAGGACCAGAGGTTTAGTCTTCCGAGCTTTCGGACTCATACTGGAGCCCATCCTCAGGGAATTCTCTCCAACAGAATGTGCGCTTTGGGCTATTCTATGCTTAGTATTTATGTGGTGCCTGGTGTGTGTCTTTTTATTTGTTGATTAGGGTGTGGATGGATGGCTATTAAGTCATTGGCTGTTGTTTCCTTGAGCTGCCAAGTCCTCGGCTCCTAAGTACCTGATAAGTTGGTAGTGAAAAATTCTCTAAGGATGGGCTCCAGCACAATCTGGTCCTGGTGACTGACCCAGATTGGATCCTGCAACATTATCCTGGGATAAGCATATTTGCCTTCATTCAGGGATCTCTATTGTACCCTATCTGCCATACAGTCTAGATTTGGCACCATACAACCTCACCTTTTCTTGAAATCAAAGGAATACTTTAGTGCAGAGTTCCCCAACCTTTCCAGGGTGGGAGAAGGGATGGTTCATGTGAGCAGCCAGCAAGCATGCACATAGCTCCATTTGCATAAGCAGCATATATGTGCACTTGCCACTCACGCAAATGGAACATGCATGTGCTCACCCGCTGCTCACGCACACATTCACCCACCGTTTCCATGACCCAGTTGCAAACAACTCACGGCACACTAGTGGGCCTTTGCCCAGAGACTGGGGACCCTTGCTTTAGTGGGAATCTGTTTCATCAAACAAAATATTCGAATATTTGAAGTAGAAAGAGCTCTTTCATAACAGTTTTAAAAACTGGTCGATCATAACCAGAAAAATGGCAAGAAAAATTGTGATTACTGTATATTTTACTAGACAGTAATCAAATCTTTCTCACCAGGTAACAAATAGTTCCTTTCAAAGTTATGGATGTGGAGGCATTACTTTTCATTCAATCTCATGCATAGAGCAGAGCAAGATACTAGCTCTTGTGTCTTAAGTGTATCTTGTGTAACTATTTCAATCAGCATTTGGAATGCATACAGTATAAGGCAGGACAAGTTTCAAAATATAAAGATATCTTAGTATCTAAATAACACACATGAATTTTGACACTAATAAAAAAAGAAATGACACTAATAAAAAAAGTAGAAGCAGGATTAGGAAGATCATGAAAAACCCTATATATATATATAAACCGTTTACAATAAAGTTGTCCAATTACTTCCTGCCCCCCCCAAAAAAGATAATATAAACGAAGGAAGAGACTGAACTGTAACAATCCCATCTCCAATGTAGAAAGCTCCAACAAAATCCAGGGTCCTACCAAAAATACTCAGAATGGAGGGTGGGGGGTGATTTTTGGATTGTTCTTCTGCTCCAGTCTTTTTTTTTTTCCAACACATTTCCTTCACTCACAAGCAGCAAAAAGGACATTATTCAAACATAGTTCAATACAATCTATATTTCATTTGTATCTAGAGACCTATATAATTAGGAACCACTGTCCATTTCCCAATTTTCCCCTGAAATTGTATCTTTAAAATAGCAAGTTATTGCAAGGAGAGGGAAATTTCATCAGTGGAAGATGGGATTTCGTCAATGAAGTCGGATAACTCACTTGGCTCAACTCAGTAATCCAATCTAACCTACATCCCAAGAACACCTGCCCACAAGCAATATGGCTGTATCCCTAGTCTGAGATTTCAAAAAACAATTTCTGTTTTCGGAACAAAGGAGAAATATTATCATAGAAGATTTTAATAAGAATCAGTTTGAATTTTTGATATACATTGTCACAGATATTATGGAATGCTTTTTTGTTATAAATGCTTATACAGATAAAGAATTTTTATCTTATAATGAGCTTATTACCTACATATCCATAATAAACAGACTCAAAGCCATTTTATACCATTGTTGAGGATTTTAATTTTTGTTGCATTTTGTCACAAAAGAAAATCCTAAAAGTAAGATACTCATCTCTATCGTGACAATAGATATGGTATCTCAATGTAGCACCCAGCTTAAATTATCTATATTATTTGTTGAACTGGATTAAATTGACTTTAAATTTTTTTTTTTATTAACTGGAATTAATTGACTTTAAAATGTTTTGTTATTCTTATTCTTCCCATTCCTCTTATTCTACCTATTTCGTCTTCTGATCTCAAAATTTTTTTCACTTATGGGTAAATGCAATATTTTTTTTACCAAAAAGATAATGTTCATTCATTTATTCAACCAAATCAGATGAGCATATAGAGGAAATAATTTCAGTTCTATTATAAGAATTTCTGTTATAGCTTATGCTTTTCTGTATAACCAGAAAGTTTTAAAATTTTGGAGATGCATTAAAACTATTTGCTCAAGTACCAAATAGAGGAAGAATGTTATAACTGTGAGTTAATGAATCACTTTGAAAGCAGGTCAATGGCTTCCAAGATCACTGATAAAAAGGAAACTGCTAAGACAGCATATTTTAATATTTTTAAAAAATATTAAAAAACATTTTCTTAACATTAACTAACCTGTTGTTCATATTTTTGCTTCAGCTCCTCCAACTGCCAGGAGAACTCTTTTGACTGCTTCTCCCGGAAAGATTTTGATTTGCCAAGATCTGCTTCTACCTTTTCCATCTACAAAGTAAGCAAGAATACATAATTTCATAACAGACATGGCAGATAGTGTAATTATTTCCACACCATCAAAATCTTAAAAACTATTATCCATTAACAGTTAAAAATGAGATTCAATGTTTTATCAGTAAAGTGACAAGCAGATAAACACAGATCATTAAAAAAAATAAGCACAAATTCAGTCATTTAAAATGTTATCAGATGAGAATCTTATATCATTGAAGACAATCTAATTTTACATCTGATAAAATCTAAAAGCCTCAAGTGCTATTTATTGAAACAAAAAAAATAGGACTTAAAGTGCTGAAGATTTTATTGCATTCCATTTGTGTTCTTTCAAAGACATTTATCTTGGAAATCATGTCTTTTTTGGTATTATTACTGTATATTTATTAAATAAGTATGTGGAGGTTTCATTACATATGCATCTATTTAAAATAAGAAACAATATATATATGTAAAGAGAGTAACTAAAAGAAAATCTAGAAACTCTGACAGTTTCAACAGAAGAAAAATACCAGCAAATCTTATTCTGGAGATTTCCTTCTCAGCTATGGAGAAAGACTTGATTCTCATCTTTGTTTCTGACATCTTTTTCAGAGGTTTATGGAAGAGTTTAACTTTTTTGAAAACTAAATCTTCCCATTTATACAGCCTTATTATTATTATTATTATTTATTAATTTTCCAATTTTTCATTTAAGTATTTAAAAAGCAACGTGGTGGCCAGTTAATCAATAGTTCAATAACATATAAAAATCTGTAGTACAAATCTCAAGTTACAACATCAAATATTTTCTCTCTTTTCCCCTTAACATCTACTGTCTCGTATTTAAGCTAATACAATTCTTATTATATCAACTAAGTAAAAACATCATTATTACATGTATCAATAAATTTTAGCTTATACATATCTTAACTACTTTTATATTTAATTTTTATAGACAATAAATGTCCTGTTATTGTTTTTTTCCCAATTTTTAGTTTCCCATCAATATTTAAATTTAACATTTGATATTTATAATTTCCAGGGTTTAGGTAACCAAAGTTTCCCTTATCTCAATTCATAACAGAATCTAATATTCAAAATACACATCTTATCTATTTGAGTATAGTCTTGTTCTATTTTAGTTATCTATTTAAGTTATCTATTTCGCACATATTAAATCATCTAATTAGTAATACAGTATCCTCTTCAATAAATCAAAACCATTATATGTATTGTCTAGGTTAATCAATAAATCAAACATATTCATATTTTTTTTCTTTTGGTTCTAATTTTTAAATATTATACAAATAAAATCCCTATTTTCAACTAATTTCCAAATATTTTAAATTAAATGATCAAAATTCCCCTTATCTCACCGTCTCCCTTTAACCCTCTAATTATTACCGTATATTCCGGCGTATAAGACGACTTTTGAGAGCGTTGAAACAGCCTCCGAACTCCGGGGCCGTCTTATACGCTGAGTCGTCTTATACGCCAGAAATAAGGTAGTTTCTGGCATATAAGACGACTTTCTAGGCATGTGACTCGGTGTCGATCGTCTTATACACCGGAAATATCGGTAGTTTCCGGCGTATAAGATGACTTTCTAGGCATGCGACTTGGCGTCGATCGTCTTGCGACTCGGCATTGATCATCTTGCAACTCGGCGTCGATCGTCTTGCAACCCGGCGTCAAACTTGGAGGTCGTCTTATACGCTGGGTCACCCTATACACCGGAATATATGGTAATATGAAATCCTCTCTAATAAATCAAAACCCCAATTTTCTTCAGCCTTATTTTGGCTTTCTTCCTTTGCCAATTAGCCTTCCACGTGTGTGCTTTTAAATCATCAACTAGATCTCCTTCTATTATATATATATATATTATTTGAAATAAGAGAGACCATTTAGTTGCCATTTTTTGGAAGGGCTAGCCTATTTGTGTTCATTAGATCATCTCCCTATTATTCCAATTCCTCATGATTGTCCTGATATGTTTATCTTCCATTCAATATGTTCTTCTTCTTTCTCCTCAAATTTCTTCTGATTTATATAGAAAGTTTTTTCCAGTTTCAGTGTTGTCACTCCCTTTTCTGGATTTTCCATTAACTGTATTTGTTGGTCAATTGAGTCCTCTGTCTTAGTATTTGATTGTTCCACTTCTTCTGTTATCTTCTGCATTGTTGATTCTTTGGTTGTAGTCAAAATTTGGGTTTGTATGTCTAAGCTGGCATCGTGTTCTTTTATGTTGCATCTTATTTTGTCACAAGTTGAAAGAATGGTTTCATGTATTGCTTTCAATATGGAAAGGGTCTTTTCCTGGTCTTCATCCATATTCTCTTAATAGTGTGTTAAGTTTTGTTGGGTATTGTTTCTGATTGTGATGATAAAGAGATTATTTTAATGTTAAATTTAATTACTGCGGCTAGGTTGTTAATAGGGCAATATTGGAAGAAGGAATTTTTGCCTACTTTGCAAGAATGGTTTTTTAAAGTTTCCTACTTAGCGGAAATGGCAAAAATTTCGGCTTTCTTGAAAGATCAATTGCAAGAGAAGTATCTTTCGGTGTGGAAAAGATGGATAAATTTTATACAATACAAGTATGATATAAGAAAATATTATCTAGCTTTTGAATAATTTATATAAGTTTAAGATATTATTTAGAAGTGTAATTGTTACTATTCTTTAATTTTTTAATTTTTTTTATTTTCTCTTTTGTTTTTCCTCTTTTTGTTTTTTATATATAATGGAGTTAAAGTATTTTATAATTTGTTTATTGAGTGTAATTATATTTGCTTAAGATTTATTTGGGTTTAAAACTTTTTTTCTTTTAAGATCTAGTTAAGCCTCTATTCAGCTCTGGGAAGAACAGGGGAGGGTTTTGGGGTGGGTTGGGAGGGATTGGGGAAGGGGTTTTTATTGTAAAATTTTTTTAAAAAGTAATATAAATAAATAAATAAATAAATAAATAGTGTGTTAAGTTGAGGACTTTAAAAATCAGATGTTAAAAATAATTTTTATAACTAGGTATGGGACCTCTATTTCACTTATTATAGGTGGTCTTTATAGTAGAAGTCATTTGTCAAGTAAAATTTTATAGTCCAAGGTATTCCATCATCTTGTGTAATAACAAATGTTTCTCAGATAAAGAAATAGGAAAGCAATTCCCCACATATAGCTCTGAAAGTCAGTAAAGGTTTACATTCATAGTTCAAGCAGGCCCATTATGCCACTCAGAAATTCTCTTTACAGCTGAGTTTCTCACAGGTGGTATCTATCAAGGTCGAAAGAGTTTTATCTGAAGTCTGGGCTTCAAGCTAAGTCTCTTTTAGGCAATAAGTTGTAATACCAAACTTCGCCACAAGATGTCACCAATGCCTTTTAAAGTTTTTTAAGTCCAAAATTGTTATAATCCTTTTTCCAGTTTTATTTCTTTTTTGTAGATAAAAACAAAAGTCTCCAGTAAAAATAAGAAAACTTTTGGTCCCCAAGTTTCAGAAACATATAAATCCAATTAGATTAAAATTGTTCTTTTAGTGCTTTAACTCCCCTGGGTAGTCAGTCGCCGCTATCCTTAGAGGGTGGAGTAGAAATTCCCTTCCCTCTCTCCTCACAGAGGGAAAAGATACGTTGGGCAGCTTTTACAGGAAAAAAAATACTTAAGATCTTAAAGAGAAGATCAGATCTCACCCAGTTTCATCTGCGTTGCTTTAGAAGTGCTTGATGGTAAGTTTGACTTCGGCTGTCTGCAGCTTAGTGACGAGCCATATTGCTATGGCTGGTCTTTCCTCTGCCAGGTGGAGGGCTGCCCCGCATCGAGCAGAAGGGCTGCTGCCCTCCCGCGATCAAGCGGGGGTCCCCTCCTTGCTCGTCGCCCCTACAGGGCAACTTTCGACCCTTTCCAGGGTCCCCCAGCGGAACGAAATCGAACACGGAAGACAGAGCTCGCCTCCCAGCGGCCGCGACGGCCATGATGGCAAACTGGAAGTTGACTTCTCGGTTATAGTTATTTATTCATCCTATTTATGGGCCACCAAATCCAGAAGCATTCTCACTATTTAAAAGACAAGAAACAATCTGCAGTGTATAAAAGACTCATCTGCAAATAATGAAACCACAAAATAAAATTAAGGAATAACCAAAATATAAATAAACCAAAATGGTATCAGGATCCAAATTCCCCCTGGAAAAACTCTGTTCTGAGCATTTTCTAGAAGGCAATCAGGTTGGGACCCAACTAGATGTTAAAGGAAGAGGCTTTTCAAAGGACTGGACTATCACCAATAAGCAGGCTCCTAAGCCTTGACTCCTTCATTTGTCTAAGATGAGACCAGGCTAGTAATTTTATGTTGGTCAAACTGGCCAGACTAATTCCAATGGGAAAAGTGGTCCTACAAGTAACTAGGCACCAAGATTCTGTATAGCCTTACAAGTTAGCACCATTTTAAATTGTATCCCAAAGCCTGTTAGTAACTAGTACAAGGCTCAATGTAGAGGTGTAATGTGCTCCACTGCAAATGCAGTAAGCCACAAGGCCCTTGCACTTTGAACCAACCACAGCTCCCAAGTGATCTTTAAAGACAGCCTCATGTACAGCAGACTGCAGGAGTCTAAAATGATTGTGACAAGGGCAGATGTTATCATATGAAGATTTTCCCACCCCAACAGGGTCACATGTTGTATACTATCAAAACAGGGGGAAAGTCTCCCTTAACAACAGCTTCCGTTTTCTTCTAGCACAGTGGTTCTCAACCTGTGGGTCGGGACCCCATTTGGGGTCAAATGACCATTTCATGGGGGTCACCAAACCATGCTGTCCGCCATTTTTTTCCCTTTTCCCTAGCTGTCCTACTCCCTCTTATTGGTAGCCACACCCACTTGGGGGTCACCACAACATGGGGAACTGTATTATGGGGTCACGGCATTAGAAAGGTTGAGAATCACTGTTCCAACAGGAGTCATGACTCCAGAAAAAAAAAAAAAAACAAGTTATGTACTTGCTACTATGCAATCCAAAGAAACTACTGGAGAAGACAGAGAACCTGCACAGACAAATAATAACAGCATCATGCTACAATTCAGTTTATGTCTGTTCTCACAGCCTCCAGCACTGAGATAGGATCTCAATTACATCACCAGTCTGGATTAGTGAGGTAACACTGAATATCATCACGGTATTAATATTAAACTTCAGACTTTCAACTTACATCTCCTTGAGTCTTCATGCAAATGTTCAATGGGGGTGAGGCTGGGAAAATCAAGCCCTACACCACACACAAAGGAATAGCAATCAGGTTGTTCTCTCTTATCCCATCATAACTCATTGCGACCACCATTTCTCTAGGTTGAATAGCAAAGCAGTCATGTTCCCAGAGTTTCTACACATGGGTATCTTAATTGTAAGAGAGACAATTGGCTGTCTTCTTTCATCACAAATAAATCTACCATAGGTGTGCCAAGCTTAATAGCAATCATAAAAAAAACTTCAAAGAACTGTTCCTTTTGAGTCAATGTACCACTATGTTAATCTTTTCTGTTAGATGGAAAGAAGGAAGCCCATTTCAGAAATCTAAATGCCTGTCTGGACTCCCCTTTGGCCGTGATTCCTAAAAACTGGTGCCAGTGTGCTGCAATTCTGAAGTGTGGAACACGTATACGCTATAATATAGGGTGTAGTATAATACTACACATTATACCTTTTTAAAAATGGTGAAGTTTTCACAAAAATCTCAATACATCCTCAAGTATGGTTTAGTATACATAGTTGGCAATCTTCAATGCTGCCACCAATATGCTAAGTGCTGGTTTTGGTTATCAAAAATGTGTTCATGTAAGTTCATTTGTTCATTTGTTATGTAAGCAAACAAATCAAGGACAAAAACTTGAATTCATATCAAGCTTTAGAAATAGAATGCAATAAATCCCAAATATTGGTACTTATCAAATTACAAATACAGGTCAAAGCATCCTATAGAAATGTGACAATTCTCATAATTCTATTTTATCAGCTAAACACAATTGATATTTATTTTTTATGTCATGAAAACATAACTGCTCCTTCCGTGTATTAAGAATCTGAAGAGGGATATGTGTACAGAAAGGTGAACCACAATCATGCAACTCAATCTCAAACACAACACTTTTTTCATGCTGCATATAGGCAAGGCTGTCTATAGCACATGTCAAACTCGCAACCTCACGTGATGTGTAATGACGTATCGCAACTTTTTTCCCATTGCTAGCGATGGGGTGGGGCATGGTTTTGGCGTGACACATCCGGCCTATGGCTGGCAGTTTGATACCCCTGGTCTATAACAATTACCACTAACTCCTGGGAAGTAATGGCAAATTGGGACTTTAAATACAGATGTGATTAAAACTACTGGTACCCTACCACTTATCCCCATCCCCAAAATCTCAATGTGCTGTGAAATAAATTGAACCTGACACAAATAAATGACATCCACCATTCTTTATTCCATAGTCCGTAGAGTGGACACTTTGCTTTTGATGAATGACTTAATATATTTTTGCATTTCTTTTCCTTTTTGGGTGCTTTCAAGTCAATCTTGAATCCTGGTGGCTGCCTAGGCAATTTTGCAGTTTTCTCGGCAAGATTTTGTAAGTGATTTGCGATTGCCTTTTACCTAAGGCTGAGAGAAATGACTGGCTCAAAGTCACCCCATTGGCTTTGTCCCTAAGGCAAACCTAGAAGTCATGATATATCTAATGGCTTCTAGTGTAATGCGTTAACCATTGCTCCAAACTGGCTCTCTTATAAATCATAAAACAAATGAAAATGATAACCAATTGGGATTCTTTGGGGAAACGTTGGAGGAGTACCAATACTTTTGACCATGTCCACTTTTATCATTATTAAAATATCTCATTTGATGAAAATATATGGCATTTTAAGAAACATTTATTCATTTTGCTTTGACTCTTCTATTTACCCTCAGGGAGTTGTGCCAACAAGGATGATCCCTGCAAGATTACAATGAAATACAAAGGGCTTTATTAATTAAAAAAAAGAGGGAACATGTTTGACATTATTCCATTATTATACCATATATCATTGCAACACTGACTTTAGAAATTAAGGTACCGTATATGCCGGCGTATAAGGCGACTTCCGCAAGCATTAAAATCGGCGCCAAAGACGGGGGTCATCTTATACGCCAGATCGTCTTATACGCCGGAAATACTGGTAGTTTCCAGCATATAAGACGACGTTCTAGGAATGCGACTCGGCGCCAAAGACGGGGGTCGTCTTATACACCGGGTCGCCTAATACGCCGGCATATACGGTAATATTTTTCAGAAAGATAGCTGGAAGGTAGGACTGAGCTGGGTTTTAGAAAATGAATGAGGTGAAACAATGAGCTATAAAACCCAAGCCCCAAACAGGATGCAGGTTAATAACTTATTTATTTGGAAAAATCCTATTCAGTAATAAAACCATGGAGGGTTTTGGAAAATCCTGTTTTAAAAGATTAATCAGCTGCTGACATCTTTTCTTCTGATTCCCAGGCAAAGTTACTACATAGTGAAAGAGTTTGATGTTCCAGAATCAAGTGAAATATGTTTCTAGCCATATAAAACAAGAATATGCTCTCCCACTGAGACAGAGAGTTCCAGAAAGGCTGGCCCTGTGACCTTCTCACCTGTTCTTTCATTTCTGCGTACACTTTTTCTGAGTTCAGCTCCACCTGCCGCTTAAACTCCTCCAAGGCAGCATCAGCCTGCTGGGCTTGTAGTCTCTGTGCCTCCATCACCTGAGTCAGGTGCTCCTCCCTCTCCCTAGAAGGCAGAAAAGATTTTCATTGTTAAAATATCTAATTAAAAAAGCACGCCTTTGCATAAAAGAAAGGGCTTTTGTCAGATTCGCTTCAAATAGTATTCACTTATAACATTCACTTTTTAATCTTCTGTCCTTGCTTATCTTGCCTTTCATTACTAGTATTTTGAAGGAGAAAACAATGTTATTTTTACTCTCCCACTGATCTGAAATCACCTAAACAAAGGACTGAGTTCTTAAAAAAAATCTCCAGTTAAAGAGAAAAGTTGTAGAAGTACTGCAGTTTTGAGTCATGTGGAATTTCACCTTTCCTTAAACAACATTATACAATCATCCTAAAATATTTAATTAAGATAATATTTTAGTATATTGTGATTTTTAAAAAAAACTCCTAAGAGCAATTCCTATCCACAATCTCTCCAAAAGTCTGTGGCTAGTGTATAGCTTATATACCCAATTTAGTTTCACCCCCCTTTTTAACATATGTGGATATATTAATATTTTGTCTTCATCCAACCAGTATATAAAGCTAAAGAACACTATGAAAATCGTCTATGGAAACATTTATTCAATGAAAAATGAACCAGTATGCCATTTCCTTCCATGGAAAAAATAAGTGCACCCTGAACTCTAGTATATGGTACTGCCCCCTTTAGCAGAAACAACTTTAAGTAGGCGTTTCTTATATCTATTAGTCTCTGACATTAATGGGAGGATATTTTTTCAGTTGTGTGATGTTTGAGGAGTTTCTTCCATGCACAGCCTGTTTCAAATCACTGATGGGATTTAGATCCAGGTTTTGACATGGCCATTCAGAACCTTCCATTGATTTTTTAAGTGTTTTTTTTTTTAAGGGAGAAAGGAAATTAAACTTCCTTGGAGGATGAAGAGAAATGAATTTAACAATCTTTTGAAAGGAGGAAAGGAATTAATGCAACTTGTTTTGGAGAGAGGTGCTCCTCCATGCACTGGAGAGTCTAAGGTCTGAAGCACATCAGCTACCAATGCAGGGCCTTCTGTCTGGGGAAAAGGCACAAGATTGCTGCCTCAGCTTAATTGCAACAGCACGGTCCCTTGGCACTTGCTGTAGCTCAGACCGAGAGAGAACTCCTGCTACATAGTGCTCCTGGCTCAGCCTATGCCATAGCACCACCAGGCAACTTTTGCTGGCTGCAGTTAAGCTTCTGCAATGAGCTTGTGCAGGACTCCTCGCAAATTACAAGCCCACACTTTTGGTGATTGGTGATTCTATCATTGTTAGTTTTAGAATTATTTTGGGATTCAGAAAATAGCAGGCCAAAATGTTTCTGAACAGCAGAGATGATACTGAGGTGGAGACTGAAGAATGAGTGGTAAATCTGGGCCAATGAAGCTTCTTCGGGCAAGAAGAAGGTAGGAGATTGCACCCTTCAGCTCTAAAAGACAGTTCCTTGCAAGGAAACCTGCAAGATCTGGAGGGATTCTCCAAGCAACTCATGAGTAGAAAACAAGGAGCCAAAGAAGAAATACCAGGCTCACAGCGTCATGTGAAGACTGCTTAAGGACACTGGATTCACCCACTCCACTTTCTAGTGCACATTTGGATCACAATAATTTTAAAAGTGATAGAGATCTTCCAAGCAACACAGCTACTAAGCCACCTAGTGAGTGATCCTTTTAACAGGTTTAAAGTAAAAAGAAAAGAAATAATTGCAAGGATTTAAAACCAATTAAAAGGAAAAAGCCTTCCAAGAGTCTGAATTAAGAAAGTTTAAAAAGACTTAAGGGAGCAGATGAAGTTGAAATATTGTTTACTTTAAAATAGTTTTAAATTAATGAAATAAATAATACATACTTCTGTGGGAACTGTTTGAACTTGCTAAAAAGGACAGTTGGTTTTGTTAAACAAAGATAAGGGAAAGTTGCAAAAGCTTATGTGACTACATGAGTATCAAATGGGATGAAAGAGGTAAAGATAACAGAAAAAATCAGGAGGAATTCTTTAACTTTTACTTTCTAGATTACATATTAAAGAATAGAAATAGCTACTACCAGAAAAGCAGCAAAAGAAGGCTAGAGAGAACAAACAGAGCAAATAACAGGAAAAGGGTTTATGTCAGAGATTTTACAAAGATTGTTTTGAAGCACTGGGGAAGAATGTTACAGCATAAGTGTTAGAGATCTAGTTTCATTTGAAAGGAGAACAGAGAAAAGATTTGCAAATATGAAAGAAAAGATGAATAAAAATGTTGAAGAATCTATGAAACAAATGAGTGGAAAGGTTAAACAAATTAAAGACAAAATGGAAATGTTGGAAAATAAAACAGAAATAATAAATTAAGAGACAGAAAGAGATTTAGATAATGTGGCACTATAAGAGAGAAAGTATTTTAAGACTGAGAACTGTTTCAGAGAAAGCTGGTGAAGATATTAAAGAGGAGGTTTCTTTAATATGAATTTTTAATATTTTTGGTGGGATGAAGAACAGATGGATGCAGAACTGGACAAAGTATATTAATACATGACATGCAAAGCTTAGAAATGTACCAAGAGATATATTTGTGCACTTTGTCAGGAGCAAGAAAAGAGACCAATTTCTACAATAATATTTTAACATCTAATAGATAAATATTGGAAAAGTGGAAGCATCCTCAATTAACCAACAATTAGTTCATCTAACAAGTTTGTTTCATATTGAGATCTCACTCAAAGTAATATGTAACCCCCAGGATCATCTTACAAGTGCCATTAGAACTGAAAAGGGTGTCAAGCAAGGCTGCACATTGGTCCCATTCTTATTCAATTTCCATATGAACTCAGTGGTGGGCCATCTCCTCTACACAAACTTTCACTCTCCAAAACTTCACAGAAGACCCATCTCTCTTCTACTCTATGCAGACAATGTAGCAATGTTTTTAAGAACACATACTGGCCTTAAAAGAACCCTGAGAGCATTAACTTAGTACTGCAAGTAAAACCAGTTAGAAATCAATTTACAGATTTTTAAAAAAATAAAATAAAATAAATATATCAGCAGCATTTGAATTAATAGAAGTCAAGCCTATAGCACAATTTCTTTATGATGCCCAGCTGTGCCCTTCTCCAATTTTGCAATCTTCAAACTTGTTCAATCCAAATTTCTAAGATCGGTCCTTCAAGTCCCAAAATATGTTTCTAATGCCTCCCAAAGACTAGAGAGAGGTTTCATGAAAGTGAAGGCCTAAAGTGGGATGACCATATCCAACTATTGGTTTAGACGATCTTTCTTTCCCCTTTACCTTGCCCCATTTAAATATGAGGGAATATTGCTTATCCAATGCCTATATTACAGAGTCATTTGTGGCATTGCTCTTCACTCTGTTTCATCTGTTAACTAAAATTAAAATTCCAAATCTTTTCATTCATTCCTTATCAGCAAAAGTTCAGTAAGGGCTGTCAGATATAACTATATTGTCCCTTTAACTTTGATCAAATAAGCCAGCTTTGTATTCCCTATACATTTAAAAGATCTGAACTCTTAACCCAGTCAAATAGACTCCTGTAGCTTGGTTTCTTATCATCTTTGTTTTATGCTCCTCATCAAAATATTTCAGAACTTTAGCAAGTCTCTTTTGTACAACCAGTAAGAGGAATTCAATCTTTTTTTTTGTCACTTCTCAAAAAACCCTTCAAAACTCTGACAGATCTTATTTGTACATCAAGTAAAACAAAAATATCTACATCTCCTTTCTGGTTTGATGGTTGCATATGTCTTTTAGGCACTGAAGCATCATCCTGTTTCATTTGAAAGTCCAGTAGATCCTTTTCTGCATCTCTCTCATTACTTGCCACATTTATATCCACTTTCAGATTAATTTCAAACTTATCCAGAGTATCTTGTTCTTCTTCCACTGCATCCTTAACAGTTCATCTACCATCATTTCCAATAATTTCAAAGCTCATTTGTCATAAATTTTCAAAAACTTTTCATAATTTTCCATCAACGTTCATTATTACAATATTTCCTTGCATTGTTGTTATCCTCTAGCACCCTCTAGTTTCCAACCTTTAAAGCCCTATTATCTTGTTTAATAACATTTTTCAAATGCTTTTTGTATTTAAAATTCTTTTTCTAAAGAGGAGACTCACCTAGCAAATGTAATATTGCTTGCTATTCCAAAGGAATTTAATCCTTCCAGAGAACAGAAAAAAATGCAAATCCAAGTTGATTATGTTTTGGTCGAACTCAATGTTCTTTAAAAAGGCTGTGTTCAGCAAAAATGGTTTCTCTCCCAACTCCCAGCTACTGGATCCATAAGCACCACATAATGATAATTACTGTGGTTTACTCCTGAGTAGCAGCTGTGTGGAGTCATGTGGGTTATCCTAAGATTTCCCCTTATTCCAGGAAGAGATAGGTGGCTTGGATGTTGTATCCAGCTGCCAACTGCTTCATAACACCGTGTTACCAAACAAAGCAACATTTATCATGGCTCTCAACTGAAAGTCTCAAATACTTAGTTCTGGAATTTGATATTAAATGAATTATTAAAAAAAAAAAAGAAAAAAAAATTATACAAAAAGTGTTTAGATAGACTTTCTTTTTCATGATTTTTTCTTCTGAATTTCCTTAAATTTTAATTATAATTAATATAAAAATTATTAATTAAACCTTGTTTGGAGGCAGCCACTCTTTCATGCACAGGAAGCTCTGGGTTTGTGTCTGATGTGTCTTCAGCTTGGCCTGTTCCAGGGAAGTTTGGCTATAATGGCAAGTTAGGAGAGGGATTGTTTGCCTGCTGTCCCAGGTGAAAAGCACCTCCTGCAGTAGTGTGTTGGATATGTTCAATGTCTTATTTGTAAAAATGATAATGGCAGAATACAAATAAATAAATAAATAAAAATTGAATCCAGGTTTCCTGTTTAACCATGATGCTCTATCCCAAGTTTTGGAGTATGAGATGCTAATATAAATCCAGCACCAGAGTACCATTTTTATTTCAATAACTATAATGCAGTGGTTCTCAACCTTTTTAATGCCGCA